AGTATGTTTCTATTTTGTTTTGTTGAGTCATAGTTTTTAAGATTCCACATTTAAGTGAAATCACATATTTGTCTTTTTGGCTTAAAGTAATAACCTCCAGGTCCATTTAAATGGTTGCAAATAAGATTTCATTCTTTTTTATGGTTAAGTAATATTCCATTGTGTATGTGCCATGTTCTTTTTTATCTATTCATCTATCAATGAAAACCTAAGCTATTTTTACATCTTGGCTGATTTAAATAATGCTGCAGTGAATATATGCAGTGATGTATATATTCCTATGTTCTTTTTAAATTATTTCTGGAACCTCCATATTCTTTACCATAGTGGCTGCATCAATTTATTGTACAATCTCACCAACAATGTCAAAGGGTTCCCTTTTCTCCACTTCCTGGCCAATTCTTGGTATTTATTATCTTAGTAATGTTGAGCATCTTTGTATGAGTCTCTTGTCCATCTGTGCATGTTTTCTTTGAAAAAAACGTTTATTCAGAACTTCTGCCCATTTTTTAAATGATTTTAAAAATTTTACTTATTTCTAGACAGAGGGGAAGGAAGGGAGAGAGAGAGGGAGAGACACGTCTGTGAGTGCTTGCCTCTCATGAGCCCCCTACTGGGGACCTGGCCTGCAACCCAGGCATGTGCCCCAGCTGGTAATCAAACTGGCACTCTATCCATGGAGCCACACCAGCCAGGGCCTTCTGCCCATTTTTTTTAATTGAATTTTTTGTGTGCTTTTTAAAATATTGAGTTGGATAAATTCTTCATGTATTTTGGATGATAACCACTAATTGGATGTATCATTTGCAATATTATCTCCCATTCAGTAGATTGTGGGGTTTTTTTAATGGTTTTTTTCACTGTACAAAAGCTTTTTAGTTTAATAAAATTTTGCTAGTTTATTTTTCTTTTCATTACTCTTGCCTGTGGAGGCACATCCAAAACAGTATTGTTAAGAATGATACTAAAGAATTTACTGCCTATAGTTTCATCTAGAAGTTTGATGGTTTCAGATGGCTTACATTTAAGCCATTTTGAGTTCATTTATGTATATGGTGTAAGAAAGTGGTCTAGTTTCATTTATGTTGCATGTATCTGCCAATGTTCCTAACACTATTTATTGTATATTCTTGCTTCTTTTGTCATAGATTAATTGACCATATAAGCCTGGGTTTATTTCTGGGCTCTCTATTCTGTTCCATCAACCCTTGTGTCTGGTTATTTTGTTCTTTTGTTTTTGTTGTTGTTATTTAATTATTGTTTTTGTTTTTGCCTGTACCATACTCTATTAATATAGTTTATTGTATAGTTTAAAATCAGAGCATATAATACCTCCAGCTTTGCTCTTCTTTCTCAAGATTTTCTTTTTTTTGACTGTTTGAGGTCTTTTGTGGTTCTCTATAAATTTATGCTATTTCTTCTGGCTCTGTGAAAAATTCAGTTGGTATTTTGATAGCAATTGCATTGAACCTGTAGATTGGTTTGGGTAATATAGAAATTTTACCAGTTTAATTCTTCTAATCCATGAGCATGGTATATACTAACAATATAATCTTGAAAAGATAACTTAACCACTGGAGACTCAGTGTCATAGTCCATAAAGGTAGGGTGATAATTTACTTACCTCACAGGGTCGCTGTGGAGATTAAAGTTTAAATACCTGTAAGGTGCCTAGAAGAATATCTGGCATAAATAAACTTTATCTATTTTTATTCTCTTTGGCAACAAATACCAGAGTCCATGGATACACAATATAATCTCATTCAAATGACAATAAATCAAAAAGCCTTTGATAGATGTTTATATCAGTGTTCTACTTTGTAGATTTGAGCAGGAGCGGAGACATAGAACCAAGAGGTCATAACATGAGAGAGCCCACTTACCTGATGGGTCTAAAGCTTTGTACCTCAGTTTCTTTGATTATCCTGCACATAATAATCCAGTAAGGAACTTTCACCCAGAATTCCTAAATATCAAGTATTTTCTTCAGTGCTATTTGGAAACTTCTATAATGACTGGAACTGAATGATAACATATAATAAATCATTCACAGAAGCACTAAAATTTTTCAACAAAGGTGTCCATCAGTAACTTCATGTTTTATTGTTGTTGTTCTTATAAGAAAGAGTCAGAATTTACTAGAACTTTTAATTTTGTAAACTACTGCCCCACTTCTAGCCCTTATCTTGTCAGAAGTAAATGTCTGCTGATTGTGATTCACCATGTAAATTAAGATGTTATTGAGAAAATGTAGTGCAATTGATGAGATTCCTGTCCATCACAGGGTCAGTCTCACTGTTATCAATAATCAACCCTATTCCTACGTGGCTGGTAGGTAGCCACTGCCACTATTGTTATTTTGTGTCTGGGAAAACTCAGACAGCATGGTTAAGTAACTTCTTCAAGGTCATATTGGAAATCAATGACATCCCAAGGACAGAACTGGTAATACACTTAATCACATCACCTCTTGAATAGCTTTAACTTCACTATGAGAATACAGTGTACACTTCAACATTATTTATTCAATCCAAAGTCATGGATTTATGATCCCTGAGATAAAGACTGTAAAAGAGAGGCCCCTTATCTACAACTATTATTATTTGAAAGTTTAAAAACAATCTTATAAAAATGGAGAATATGATAGTTTCCAATGGTCAAGATAGAGGAATTCATTTCTATTTTTGAACCTGTTTACTGTGTTAGTAGCTTATAATTTACTTAATGTGCTTGCATCCTATTGATCTGAACCTCATTGAGTTGTGTCTTCATTCGCACACCTTACCAGATGCGGCAGCAGTAAAAATTGCTCTTTTCTAAAGTATCACATAGGCCACATTTCCTGAGAAAGGAAATGACAAACTATTTTTGGATTCTAAGGAAGAGCCACCTGTATAAGCTCATCAATTAAAAACCTATTTTCATAGCTTAATTTAATTCTTCAAATAAAAATGAAAAAAAATTTTTCTGTGCTAGATATGTAAATATATTTTGATGATTTTCTTATTGAATAAGAAATAGTTATCATTTATTTGAGAAATAGCTATCATTTATTGAACACTCAGTATATGTTAAGTAGTGTGCTAATGAATTTAAAAGGAAAGTTTAATCAGTAACCCTCATAGCATATTTTCTTCAATAGATTAGAATTTAAATATGAGTTATTAATCCTGAGACTTTATATATACCCAGTTATGTTAGACTTTGAGTTAGGCTTATAATAAAGAGATCATAAGTGATAGATATCTGATATTGCTTTTTAATTGTTATTTTTTGGTTGGCGTTTTCATTGTCCATTCTTGCAAATTCTTTCTTGATACATTTAAGATTTTTAAAAATTGTACACTATTGATTCAGTAAACTGTGTTTTCAACATTCTGAACCTGGTATCCAGACTATTTCAAAGTTTTTTGAAGTGATCTCTTCTTATTTCCTCCTATATAAGTGTCCTAGACACTAGCATCTGGAAGTTCATAGGCATAGTTGCCACCACATATTCTATGTGAATAACCAATAAATAAATCCCACTTACATGATTTATCCTTTTTAAGTGATACCTCTCAGTTCCATGTACTCAGTCTACTGTTAGAATACTATATATATGAGATTTTTACAATATGATTGCATCGATTGTCTTACGAATCTTATGGCATTGATATTGTCAAATCGCTTTTCCTTCAAGTTAGTTTTTTGTATTTGACAAAATGTTGTAGGTCCCAGGTGCTAATGCTGTGAATGTGGCAGTTTGGGGACCTAGATGGCCTTCCACCTCTCCCGCATTTTAGACTGCAAGTGGAGAGTGTGAGCTGCACACTGTTCAAAGTACAACATATATGAGGAATTGATTCTATGCCAGCACACTAAGTTACTGTTCGTGGGAGAATAGCACCTCTAAAATCAGCATGCTAATTAGGCAGGGCTGTCTTAATAAACCCTGCTGGTAACATTTTTATTTACCCCCCCAAAGAATTTGTATTTACATACACACCTGAACATGCTTATAAACACAAAATACACACACAGTCTTATGATTTTATATGTGTGTACTTATTTATCTGCATATGATTTATAAATGTAGACTGTTATTGTTTACCAATATATGGTCAGCATTTATGTAAGGATTTCACCATCTGACATACTTGTATATACACACGTAGATAGACATAATCACATTTCAGGAATATTTTCCCCCCAGTGGAATGGTGCTTTTATTTTAACTGATGTGTTTATGCAAATATACTCAGTCGCAAATGAGAGATTGTTAGGCCTGGCTATAATTTTAACTCAAAGATGAAAGGGACTGTTAGAGACTTTCGCCAACCTGGTAACTTGTGCCCCTTAATATGGGAAGGGGCCGTGAGTTCTCCTCCAGTCCCCTTGCTTAGGATTCAGTGAGAGACTTCAGCTTCTGTGTGAAGACGTCAGCTGTCTGCTATGCTAATCAAAGGCAATATCCAAAAACTGGACTCTGGGAATGAGGGACCAAAGGGAGGAAGATCTAGAAGTCAGTAGAGATAAAAGGGAGCACTGAGCTGCAGAAAGTGTCTGAAGGTTGGAGACTCTAGTTAATGTGAATGGGAGAAGGTTTTGTTTAACTTCTAACTTTTGAAGCATACTATTAGTACAATGAAATAAAGTACATAGTTTTCTAACTATGTAATGCATTGCATTAAGTTTGGATTAATTTAACATTTTAATGTGTTAGATATTTGAGAAGTCTGACATTTATATTAAGGAGTAGATTTAAATATGTCAGGCATCAAATTATACATTGTTATTCTCAAATTAACATTGTAGTTCTAGAGCAAAAATTATAATTCAACAGACATTTCATACAAAAATTAAATGTGGAAAGTTTTGATTATATGACTTAAAATACTGATATGTTTGTTTATAAATGAACAAATTTTGTGAACATTCTATGATGACCACTTCTTCCTAAAATGCTTTGACACGGTGAAATAATGGGTGTAATTACAAATCTAATTATCATGTTTTAGGCTAAGATGACTCAATTACCTGAGGCAGAGAAAGAGAAGATTGCGGAGCAAGTGGCTGATTTCAAGAAAGTAAAGAGTAAACTGGACGCAGAGATTGAAATATGGGATGATACGAGCAATGATATTATTGTTCTGGCCAAGAAGATGTGCATGATCATGATGGAGATGACAGACTTCACGAGGTAATTGTGTGGAAAGTGCTGTGCAGTGCTTGCCATGGTTAGAGACATCCATTGCATTTGTAAAACCTCAAGACTATTTGAGTGGCAGGAGCTAAAATTCAAGAGGTAGGAAAGATCAGACAACATAAAATTAGAAAGTTATAGGTGTGTCCTTCTAGGGATTTTGGCAAATAAATATGGCAGAGTTTTGGCAAATAAATATGGCCAAGGAATAATTTTAAAGTCCACTTTGTGCTTTCTTGCCTGAGGAATCTTCTCTGTGTATTATATAAGCATATTACTTTTAAAGAGAAATTGGTAAATCAGTATGATCTCTATCAGAGATATCTGAATGGTTGATGGGCATAGCTACATAATTTTAGTCACAGTGATTTATATATCATTGAAATTAGTAATACCAGGGAGAGGGGAAATTGGAAAAAAGGGGGGTGAGAAGAAGAGAGAAGAATTGGGGGGGGGGAGAGGGGGGGGGGATATTTGCTACTGAAGCAGTAACTAGATATATTTGAATACAATGGCAATACATGAAAGGTATGTATGTGTGCATGTATGTTATACATTGTGTGTATGTATGTGATGAAAAGAAATTTACAGCAGGTTTCAGGGGGATGAGAAAATTGAGACTACTAGAAAATATATATTACAATAACTGGATTCAGACTGGGAAAGCAGGGAAATGCAGTTAGGAAGATGGAAGGGTAAAGATATATCATCAACAGGCAGTGAGGATACAGACTTCAGTGAAGTTTTTCCTGCTCTGCATCTTCCTCTTTCCCGAAGGAACTGTTTTCCTGTTGACATACTTTCAGTCAGGTTTGTAAAGGATGCTGAATGATAACTTTGGAAAGGATGTTCAGTGCCTCTGAGGGTGTCATAATCTGTAGCTAGGGTGTTAGAAGAGAATTCACCGCCCCACAGAGTGACACCTCATGGGAAAATAGACACATTTCATGTTTTGCAAAAGCTAAACAGCCCAACATTCTCACAATCTACAGGTGTCACTGCCACAGGCATCCACAGAACAGGGGTATTGTCAAGTAGCATACAGGGACAGTTGCAGCACTGATTTTGGACCCTGACAATCTTTTGCATTTGAACTGAATCCTGATTCAGTTTAATTCAGTTCATTTAAGTTGTGATAAATCTTCAACTGTTTTAAAATAAATGAAAATTTTTTAGTTACTTCTTTTTTGCTCTCAGTTCTGTTTCCAGAGTTTTCTCAAACACTACAACATTTTTCTGAGAATTAAATCTAGCAGTTTTATATATAGGCTATTTTTTAGTTGCCCCCATGTCACAGTTCTTTCATTGCAGGCATTTCATCTTGTATGTAATGGGGCCAGTGAGAACCGGGGTCAGAGCTGGTCCTGCAGTATTTATCAACAAGCCGACACTTTAATACACTCTCTATCCCACATATAGATTTTAGACAGCTATATATTTTTTAAAATAATAAAAAGAATTATCTCTTCTACAGTGTCACTGAATGCTCCATTCTTCTCAGTCTCTTCAACTACTACTTTACTACTAATGAGGCATAACATAGTAAACTTGAATGAAAGCTTACTATGTACTACACTATGATGTATTTATGGTTTTTTATTTTCATTTTCAGGACATTTTGATTGATTACTGTATTGTCCACTTTATTGTTAAAGAAAATAAAATTTATAGAGATCAGATAAATTACTCAAGGACACACCAATGGAATGTCCTCCAGCTGGAGTTGGTCCCACTTCAGAATCTGGGTGCCTACTCATTGTGTCACAAGTCTTTACCCTTGTGTTAAACCAAGAAGAAAACCCAGTCCATCCCCCAAGAGGAAAAAACAGACACATTAGAAATAGCAATGATAATTGTGTAATGCATTGTATGATTCTAGATGTAACTATATTAAGATTTCAAAAGAGAAGGATAATCAGTGGGATACAAATTAAGCAGAGAACAAAAGTATAAGCAAATGAAGTTTGTATTAGACTGTAAATGAGATGTAGGAATTGGAGTGTGGAATGAGTTGACCATAGTGAGGAAACCCACAGGGATAGATAGAGGCCAGGAGGTGGGAGGGACTCCAATTGATTTGAGGGGGGCGGCTCTAGGAAATTATATAAATAGAGAAAGAAGTTGAGAGAGGTATGACCAGTGTGGTGGATTATAAAAGGACTTAGAAAATGGACAGTTTTTTAAAAGAAGTAAGAAGTAGGGAACTATTAAAAAATGTGACCATGATGGTGGCATGATGGGAATCAAAGAATTCTAGAAATGATAGTCAAGAAGAGCGGCGGGCACTTTTGGATGACACTGTGATCAGAGACTCAACCCATGGGGCTGCAGCCGCAGTTGAGAGACCCAATAATTAGAGAGGCTTTGGAATTTTGATACTGGCTAATGAAGACTTGGTAAATTTCTTAAAAAATACTGTGTCAGAGGCTGGAAAAATTACTTCTGTAAACTTGATGTAGCCATTTCTAAACCTTGGATTATGCCCCTTGGATTATGCCCCTTCGCCATTTAGTAAGGCATTTAGCCTACACTGGCAACATGGAGCAGATTTTACTCTCATTATTTGCCCACAATTACAAATAGAGTAAGGCATTTCTGTCACTACTACTGTGATACATTCATTTTAGGGTACGAAAGTCAGACTGTAGTGTTTTACACATGATTTCTCCTTGGCGATGGGCCATCCATACAGTCACGTAAGCTATGTTACCTTATCACACAGCCTGGGGCACTTTCCAATAACTCAGCATTTCTTTTCCTCTGTTTCTGATGTTTTCTAGAATCAGACCTGAGGACTTAATACTTGCTGGAGGAAAGTAAGTCTTTCCCCTTGCACTGATTAGTTTTCCAGGGAGGCATCTTCTAAACTCCTGACTAGAAAGTAAGGGTTCTGGGAGCAGAGCCCCAGAAGATTTAGTGGAGAATGGAGTGGCTGGTTGTTTCTATAGTTAGGACCAAGTATTCACACATTCACTTAATATTCTGTTAGTAAAAAGATATTAGACCTTAAATAAGTCTGAAAACTTCCAGTGCAAAGATTATGTTACCCTCTTCAGAGAATAATTTCCATACTTTTCCTGGGATGAGGGAGAGACAGTTGTTCAGTGGTGTGGGGTAGCGTAGGGGCTCAAACTGCCTCTTTCATTCTCTCTCTTTACCTCTAATTTCAGTCATACATGGGTCTTCCTATTTCAATCAGCTTGATTATTAGTTTTCCCACTGCTGGATTGGACTCTGCTTTTGTGAGTTAACTATATCATTTGCTGCTTGTTATCTGCTTTCCAGCTCGCTAATCCTTCTTGCTGATGTCTGTTCTCCCGTTCTATTCTCTGCATCCTAGTGGGTTTAGATCTCTCTCTATAAGGGAAAAATGAAACCCATATGTAGCTTTAGTGGGGTTTGGAGAAGGAAAAAATATATATTCATCTGACGGTCTACCACCTTAACCTGGATGCTCACTAAAATTTATTAAGATTGTAAAAGTTCTCTCTTTATGATATTTAGAGGTTAGAACACTTATTAATGTTTTTTTTCATAATTTATACCCCCTTTTCCTTTTCTCACTTCAGGTAAACCATGCCCAAACAACCTCTTAGTTGAGAACTTAAACAGTTTCCACATTTTATGGTTTACATAACGTTTAAGAACATCTAAGTCATTTTTCCCAATTAAATAGAAGACAGGCTCTGGGTAAAACTTTACAAATGTTTAATTATACCTTTTACAATTAGTTAGTGTGCATTTTTTAAGTTGCTGAAAAACTATAGGGAAAAAGACAGAAACATAACTCTCCATGTAAATCTTGATCAAAAATTATGATTTCTAAGAGTGTACCAACTTCATTGTTAATGTTAATAAAGTTAACAAGTTGAAAATACCTGGCAAAAGCAATACTGCTTTAAGCACAAATATTTAAAAACATTATTTATTCAAAAATATACCAAGGTGGTATACCTAATCCTCATAAAATTTTATATATTGAGAGACAATGTGATGTCAATTGTTATTTGACAAAATCTCTAGTCTTTTCTAGAATTTCTGTTGTTCCATTTACTGAGCATTAACTGAGTTTCAGGGCAGCCTTGTTTCAAGGATGTTGGAACACCCACAGGCGGGGCATTGTGAACCAGGGCAGCATAAGATAGAATGGAACTGGCTTGTCCTATGTACATAATACCACAACTGTCAGTTCTCCTGGCTTTATATTTCTATAATATCATTCAATATATTCTCAGCATCTAGATCAAATCATTAGCTAAACCCACCTGTCTGCAAATGGGCCAGTTTTTAAAAGCATATCATCACTCTCATTTTATGGCCTGTTGCAATCAAGAGTTAACCTGAAATTTGAAGGAGGAGTTTGTGGATCTAAAGGGGTTTGCAGTGAAGGACCAAGTTCCCAGCTTTCATAGATCCAGGGTACCCACCCAATGACTGGGCAGTGGGAGGTGAAACCTTGAAGACTGTCCAACTGAGGGGGAAAGAGTACTCAGAAATGCTCCTGTGGAACAATGTTGCGTTCATCTGTACAGTAGGAGTTGTTGGATGAGAGAGCTGTAGAGTGATGTCAGATGAGGGACTAGATTTGGAAATGGGGGTACATTTGTTATCACCTTTCACATACCTTCTGTGGACATGAGTTTGCATTTAAGATAATGTTTAGCCCCGCCTTTCTTTCCCAAGACACAGTTCTGAGACATGAAATAGAAAATGTGCAGGCGGAGGGGAGAAATTCACCTTGCCTCTATTCAGCTAGGGCTTCAGAATTAAAGCTTTTCTGGAAGCATTGTTGAAATGCATATGCATTCATGTGTTCTCTGATGCACACAGCCTTCTGCTCATTAAATATGCAATCTCTCTGCACGTGGCTTGTTTTGCTTTTTGAGGTGAAATGTTTAACGGCAGTGACAATTTAAACATTTTCACCCACACAGCCAAGAAATAAGAAATACTGGTAAATTTTATATATTTTTTCTTTTAAAAATTGTCATATCTGA